CCCCCAAAACCCCAAAACCCCAAAACCCCTTGTTTGAAATGTGAAATTGAGATATTCTGAAATGAAATTTACTTAATATGCTAACCTCTTGAGCCGAATGTTGTTCCTTGCAAATCTTTTATGAACTGCTAGAGGAGAAGCAGTGTCTGGCAATGTAGTACCTGAAGAGCCTTTTGGTAGCATTGTCGAGTTACGAGTGCCGGTGCTTCCTCTACTCTAAAAGTCACTACATCTCTTACCTGTTCAGCATAACAGCCATATATTGTCATGGAGTCTGGCTTGGATTTGGACAACATCTTTGAGTTTGAAGAATTCCCTAAATTTAAGCGCCTCCTTGATTTCTCAGTAGGCATCTTCTTCAAACTCTTCAAGAAAGCCTTCTTGTACGTTATTATTGAAGAATTTGAAATTAACCTAAATTTAGAAGCTTTCGGAATCTTTTTGTGAGTTTTCTGCGTTTTTTGGTTTGAAGAGGGACTTAATGAATCTCCCAATGCTGGCTTCACCTCATTGCCTAATTCCAACAATAAGACCTTCACAGACAAGATGAGCCTTACCTATATCAAAATCTGTCATTTCTTTTTGCTGCTTCTTTTTCTCCGAGAGTGGAGAACTCTGGAGTTGACTATTTTTGGCTATTAGTATTTATAAATTTCCCATACGATAATTTTGGATCGGTTTCTTCATATCAAAAATTGGAGAATGCCCTTGTGGACTGATCCTTTGAGAGATGCCTAAACATTGCTAAATGTGAGCCTACCTCTCCTCTCAGATCTCCTTATTTGATTTGTTAAGGGTACGCTTTTTCTATAACTTGTGGCGCGTTTAGATATGTCAGAAATGTTAGTAAAAGAACCAATTTGACTAAAGAGCTAACCCGTACTTTTTGGTGCCAATCTGTCTATTTTCAATTTTGGCCACTTCCTCCATGAATTCCTTCCTGAGAGTAATGATGGAAAACTAGTATCAAGATTTATAATGGGAAATAAAGAAGGAAAGAGAGGTTTGGATACTTACTCTATTCTGCCTAGCCTTGGCGGTTTCGAATGTAGGAGCATTGAACTTGTGAATCTTACTCTTCTTCTTCCTTTTTACAATAGGTTTTGAAGGAGTTTCAAGTGCCTTCTTTACATTTTCATCGAATAGTACTCTTTGCTCATTATTTTGGTGGTTCAAAAGAAACCCTCTTCTTCTCTTGTTCAAAAGAGTTAGTTGCCTCTGAAGCCTATTGTTTTAGATTTATTTTTACTTTATTTTCCTGGTCTTGAAGAAGGGTTTTATAGATTTGTATTTTGGCCCTACAACTGCCTCTGTGAGATGATTCCAGCCATCACTCTGTAGCTCTTCATATACTAATGGAGGCCTAGAGGAGATTTTGATAACTTTATAAGTAATTGTAAAATATTTTATTTCATTAGATTTTCTGAGCCAAACCAAATGTCTTACCACTCAAAAATATGCGGATCTTGAAATAAGTCATCAAGGTTATACTTCATCATCTCCCTGACCTTCTCTTGATCGATTGAGGTGCTATAAATCAGTTATCTAAAGTTATGTTACTTTTTCATAGTAGTGCACAATATTTTCAATAATTAAAGCAGTGGAGGGGTTTTGGGGTTTTGGGGTTTTGGGG